CGGTAAAATGCATCCGCATTTAATAATCGAAAAGAATCACGGCGGTTAAAGTGTTAAGTAGAATAAAGTTGTTCATATGAGCAATTTTGTACTGATCATTTGCCTATAATCTGTTGTTATTGGGGCAAGAACGAAACTGTTCTCTTTTAATCATTCGAGAGAACCTTTTATGTCTTCCATCAGCATATGGCTGATGCTAACCTGAAGGAGAGTGACTCATTGTGCTATTTCGGGTTAACGTTTTCTGCTGGCATGAAGTGGAAATATTAAATCAATTGCTGCGTCTAGTGCGAGGAAAGTTGGTTGACTTTTTTGTGCTAGACATTTTTTTCGCCAGAATCTATTTTGCATCGAGGCTACCATTCGTCCATGCTTTGAATATTGCTGCCATATCTGGTCTGTGCTTCTGCTATGTATTTAGTGATTCTTGATAAAATACAAAAAAAGAATTTGCAATGATATTGGTCCTGACCTGGCATCTCGGCTTCAGTCACTTTCCCACCGCCGTAACATAACTTCCTTGTGCCTTATTCCAGTCAGCCCTGATTTTTCAAAATTTATATGCAATGTCTTCTTATTTTCTGTTCTTTTATTGTTCTCTCTCTGATAATGTTTTCTTTTACTCATAATCTCTCACACTCGATAATAGCTTTATTTCTTTGCTTGGGGCGAAATTATAAAAAGATCCAACAAAAACTTAATAATTAAATAAACTATTTTTAATTCATATTTATATGTATTAAATAAACCTATTTTTATTTAAACAATTTAACTTAGTATTTTTATGAGACCACCATTCAGTATGTTCGATCTTCAATGAGGTTGCGGAGAAGCAGGGTATTGTTTTTCGAGAGCGTTGTTTCAGCATTAGAAGGATAGTGACTCGCGATATGCCAATTACATGTCACTTATCATTGTAACAATGTCACAACGCATTGATTTAAGATTACTTGGAATTATAAATTTAAAAAAAAAACTCTAACATTCCGTGGTGCGCTCTTTGGGAATCTGTTTTAGTGTAGGTACTTCCACTGGTTTATTAAAAATATAACATACCATGATGAAAAAACGCCCAATACTTAATAAAAACACAGTTTTATCGTGGAAATCGTAATTATCAAGAGGAAAGACCAGAGGCTTTTTATTATTAAATTATATTCAACGTTCGAAATTTTGGTTAAAAATCTTTTTTTTTTTCTTTTTTTTTTTTAAATCTGTGGGTAACAAATGTAAAAAAAATATTTAATTTCGAGAAATTAAATGTTTATATTAGTTAAAAGCAGTACTCCTTGGAGAATTTAAATCATCAATTTTTTTTTTTTTTTAAACAGGAACACCAGTTACCGAAAATCTGCTCTGAATCATCAAATAAAAAATGTAATAAAACTAAGACATTATTTAATTAGAAAAGCTTTTAATTACTTTTAAAAATAAGATATATTATGGACACTATTAGGGAAAAAATTCGATGAATAATGAACTTTTATTATTTTATTTAATTTTGATTAGGATAATTTATAAAGTTTTTAAAGTTATAAAGTCTTTTAAATTTCTTCATTACTTTGTGTCGGTTAGGTGATATAACTAGTAAATTTAAAGTCAAAGTACCTAAAATTCAATAAAACATTAAATTACGGAGAATATTTCCTAAATTTTAAAGATTACTGGGTATTCAGAAATTATATAAAAAAAAAGGCGTCACTTTATATTCTTCAAGCAAATTTTTACAGATATGTCCACCGTAAAAAAAAAAAAACATCAGATAAACTTCACTCTGTCATTCAAGCTAAAATAAACAGCTACCGCCGTGTTAAAAATGCATTTCTGCGATATTTTAAACTTAAAGTAATTAATATTTGTTTCAAATCAGATTAATTAAACTTTAAATCAGCTAATATTACCCAAATAAAGTTTCAGAACGTATATTTTATTTTTGAAAGATTTTTTAATAAAGAAAATTACATTGCGATGACGAAAGTCTAAAAATGGCGCTAAAATCAGAGAGTTTTTTTGAGATTTGAAAACAAAAACTACTTCCGCTCAGTTTAAATTAGTTTTGAAATACAGCAAAGTATTTTGCTTATTGGAAATATTAAATTTAATCTATTAACTTAAAATTAAAACTAAAATAAAAGCGTCAAGAAAGGTTTTTTCATTTTTTAAATTCATTTTAAACCTAATTTTTTTAAATTCATTTCAATACATAAAATAGGTACCTCCACAGATTTGCGATACCTATATCGCAAATCTGTGGAGGTACCTGTTTTAATGTATTTCAAAATCTGTTATAATACCCTCTAGAATATTGAACAGGTAGCATTAGAACGTAAGATTGAAATCATCACGTAGTCATTACCCTTACACACACGCACACACACCACTGCCAACTAACTTTATATAAGGTTTGTGGTTTCTTTCAATTAAATCTCATTTTTTCAAGTTTAAATTTTATTTTCAGTGAATAGACAAGAAAGCGCCAACCAAAATAATTATCCAGAGTTCACAATGGAGGTTGGCATCATCTACGATCAGCAGATGTATGACTTCCTGGAGAAAGAAGTACGCGCCATGAGTTTGGAACAAAAACTTAATTTCTTAGTCACACAATGGAATGCGGTGAGTCTTGACCGCGATTATTAAAAAAAGGCAATCAGCAGTTGACAGGAAATAATGAATGACTTTTTACATGAATTACTTAGTAATACTCATACTGTACTTAGTTAATTAATAAATAAGAACAGTATGAATATCACGAAATTCTTAATAAATGCTATCAGATTGAAGAATAATTTGTCTATTTCTGAAGATTAACCCTGAAAAATAGTGGGATAGTTTCCAAAATGTTATGACGTTGCAAATACATTATTTTCATTAGTATTGAAAGAATGCATTTGCTATATTGAGTAATATTCTGCGTATATCTATTTCTCGTGTTAAGAATTTTCATTATAATAAAGTTTACTTGTAGAACACAAAAACTGTCATCTTGTAATGTACAACAGGTCGCGTATCGAGTATTCATTACTTAAATTTACAATATTTGTATCTAAGACGTTCGCTAGTTGTTCGGTTACTTTTAAAATTGTCCAAACCGAAAATTCTAAGCATAAAATTATCGCTTAGTTTACCTTTTTCCTATTTACAGGTTCAGTATGAATTCAACAAGAAAATTCTGCTAGAAAGCAAGATACAAATTGTTATCAAATACATTCATTTATTTAAAAATAATCCAGTAAGTATATCAGTCATTTATTAATTTTCGCAGATTAATATGAGACCAATGTTTAATTGATAATTTGAATATAACTTTTATTCTTAGACTTGGTATCGGATTGGAGACAAACTGAATGAAGCCATGAGCGATGTTTGTAATTGGACCGCTCGAATTGGATTAAAATTGGACCATATCCACATCGGAACAGGGTAAGCCTATTTCTGCCTTGTAGTAGTTCAGATGAGGGAGCAACATCTTAAAACTGATTGTTGTAGATGACACCAGTGGAAAACTGAGAGCAGCAATGAAGTTGATAGCAATCGTTTGTCTTTGCCAATTCGTGACTTGATGTTGATATATATATATATATATATATATATATATATATATATATATATATATATATATATATATATGAGAGAGAGAGGGAGAGAGAGAGATAACGCTATATATATTTATATATCAAGAACAGTATTGGGGAAATTGTATGACAAAGTGAAAAAATCTACTTGCGGTCGCGTTTCGTCCTTCAGGACTTAATCAGACTAAATTTGTTATGTTGGTAGGACTACACATGCGCACAACAGAGGGGTGCTGGGAATTTTAGATTTTTTTCTTTTTGTTTATTAGCCGAATTCATTTAATGTAGTTTTCTTTTTCTTTCCATCACTTTTGTAAGTTATAAAAAATTATATGAACACAAAAGGGACATTTTACAAAATGATACATTAAATGCGTTGGTTGTCCACCGTAACGAGACTGACCACAACTTTGACATAAAACATGTCAAAAAAGAGAAAATAATTCACTACGACGTAAATTTTTAATCGCAAGCGCAAGGCGCAGTAAATTTGCGCCTTGGCTCTTGCAACATTTCACCATTCCTGACAGATCTTCTAATATTAAAGTGTTGAATACCTACTTACAAAAGTAATGGAAAGAAAAGGACTCTAAATGAATTGTTTTCTTTCGGAAAAAACATCAATGACAAAAAACATACATAAGGATAGCCGCTGGAAATTGAAAAAAAGACTCTACAGTCACTGACATTCCTTCTACAATGCTTGCTTAAGACACTAAATCTGCTATATCTAAGCATTATTGGAAGATTAAAGATAGAGGATTCACCCCACAAATTAAATAGGACATCATCTGTCGGGCTCCAAGCCCCAACAACTTCCGGGATAGATGCAATCTGTGTATAAAAGAGAAACTTGCAATGCCAATGTTGATTCGTTTATATGGGTGCTAGCACATATAAGTGTACATGTATTCATATATATATATATATATATATATATATATATATGTACATGTGTACATGTATACACATATATATACATATGTACAAGTGTACATGTATTCATATATATATATATATATATATGCGTGTATGTATGTATGTTTGTATGTGTGTTTATATTGCGTATCACGCGTTTTTGAGTTTTTTATATGTAGTTGGATCTATGATTTTCTTGCCGATGTATACAACATCTATAATTCTAAATTAACACCTTTTGTATGATTATCCATGCATCATCTTACTCAGTTTTTTTTTTTTTTATTTTGGTCTTTATTGTTTATCTTCATTTAAAATCCCTTTATTTTATGTTTGGTATTGTTATCATTATTATATTTATTATTTTTATTAAGGTTTCCTTTATTAGACTAACTTATAATTGCGTTGATTTACCCTGCCTAAAATAACAGGCCATATCGGTTAATTTGCTGTACAAAGTTCTATACTTTAAGGGAAAAAATTCTTGGCCGGGTCAGCCTATTTTAGGATAACTGCTATCCCTTCATCTCTTCCTCCTTCCCTTTCCTTTTTTTACTCTCTCTCTCTCTCTATCTCTCTCTCCCTCTCTCTCTCTCTCTCTCTCTCTCTCTCCCTCTTTTCAGCGACGAGGAACGAGGTTGAGGCATTTCCTCCGTCTCCATTAATAAGTCCAGTTTTGGTAAGTCTACCTCCACCTGCTCCGGTTGCTGATTTTGCTGGACCACCTGCTCTTTGCTTTCCGGCTGCTGCTGCTGCTTTTGTTGTTGCTCCCTTAGGGGTTGTAATTTTCGCAGCTGCTCGTTGTTCCTGCTGCTTAGGGTCCTTCTGCTGCAGCTTCTGATTAGCATTTTGTTATAGAGTAGAAATAACGAAGGTATATTACACAAAATAATAATACAAGATGTGGAAGGTATGACTGTCAATGGTTTGGAGTGAACTTCTATCGGCTCGACTCGATTCGACCCTCTCTCTTAAGAGGCGTAGTATACATAGTGTTAGGAAGAGTTCATTCTGTAGTTATAGATAAGGACCCATGACACATTTCCAGGGAGATCCTGCTGGCGTACCGGGGCTGTCAATTTGGTCCCCCTCTTCACCAACTCAGTCCATTCGCCAGGACCACTGGGGGCATTCTTAGGTGCTTCCACCCTGGGTTGCTCAGGTGTTGTTTCAGCTGCAGGTGTCGGATTCTTCGTCGGACACAGCTTTGCCAAGTGTCCGGTAACCCCACAAACCCAACAATGGGAGCGTCGTCCCTCGACGATGACGTAGATATTTCTGCCACCGCAAGTTATAATATTCGAGACCTCGTTGAATTTGGGTCGGGTCAATGTCACTGGTCCAAAAGATGAAAAGAAGGCTCCTAAATTGTCCTCAGTAATATACATGGGCACCCCCATATAAAGTTACGCGGATTTTCCGGGTGCCCAATAGTCACTCTGAAGCCTCAGCGTCTTAGTGGTGAGCGTACTTCCAGTTAATACCTTTGCCGCCTCCTCCGACGCTAGCAGGATGTCTCACATCGCGGTAGATCTTCTTGCTAAAATCTTGGCCCCCAATGTTTAACGTCTTCAAGGCCTCTTCCATTGTCTCCCTGCTGACAGCTATAATTTGCTTGTCTTGATGTCTGCCGTCAACAGAGAGATTGTTCTTGCTGCTACTACCTCCGTAATGTAGTATATGCATAAAAAATTAAAAATTATTTTAAAAATCTTGAAACTTTTCAATTTTTGATTAGTTAATATAGTTTTCTCTATAACATAAAGCTTTACATATTATAAATTATTATAATTAAATTTCGGGAAATGAGTAGTTGTCTGAAAAAAAATTGCTTACATTCTCCAAGGAGTCCTGCTTTTAACTAATAAAAAAAAATTCGGATGAAAATTTAATTACTCGAAATTTCATAAAATTAAGTAAATGGCGGTGGGGGGGGGAGGGTAACATATTCAAAAAACAAAAATTTTACCAAGATTTTCTAAAAATTAAATTCAAAAATAATTTAATTTATTTGTGAATAAGTCCTGAAAGTTTCATTAAAATCCGACAACTATTTGATTTTTGCAAGAATTTCCAAATCAATTTGTTTTTCACCGGAAAAAAGTGCAAAAACACTAATCTTTGACGCAAAATAAAAATAAGATTTTTAACCAAAATTTTTAACGTGCTAGAAAGGATTCAAAAATTTAATAAAAATACTTTGGCCTTTCCTCTTAATAATAACATACACATTTTGACGATAAAACTTTGTTTTCATTAAGTTTGAGGCTTTTTTCATCATGATTTTTCGTTGTTTTTTCGGCGAAAAAGTGGAGGTACTTAACCAAATTTCACAACTATGCACCACAGAGTCACTTGTTCGCTGCGAAGAGGTTTTTCATGAAGCTATCTAGGGTTATTTTCTGCACAGTAGAGAAAATGTTATTTATTGACTCAGCCAGAAAGTTGAAAGTGAGTTTCATCACTTGTGAGAAGAACAGCATTTGCAAGAACATTTTGAAGGATATTGTCACAACATACCATGCGATGTTTCCAGTCGTGTTCTTGCAGTTCCTGGATAAACATTAATTTGTATGGATAGAATTTCAGACTGGTGTGTAAAATTCTTCTGACTGCTCAATCAGACAATCCCAAAGCAGAAGCATGTTTACAAACTGAATGTGGCTTTCTTTTAAGAGCTCAACATATGGCCCTGAAATTTTCGACCCATAACAATATCGATTTTCTATACGAAAAAACAACACCTATCCGACGTAACATGAAATGGACACGAAAAGCTCTCTGTGTTGCAATTACAGATTTACCAGTCTTAAAAATGCTTTCAAACGCACAATGAGCACCGGTCCAAGCCGTCATGATAACTGCTGGTTTCTGAAAAGAATGGTAAGACATTAGCTAGATGAATATACCATTACCACTTACCTAAGTTCACTAGCATCACACAGGTGACAGTTTAAAATGTGGGAGGTAATTCTGTTGCACAATGTATTATCATCTATATGTTTGTTAGATTTTCAAAATGTACTATTAAAATATCAACATCACTTCCCTTTATTTCAAGCCGTAATCTAAATGATCAAGAGCTTACCATTTTCAGGCAAAAATTGGCCTTAATATTCGAATAAGTAAGCAATTTAAATATAACAAGAAAATGATTACTTAAAACGATCACTTGAAATAAATAACAAAAATTATTTTTTTAAAATTTGATTTTTAAAACTGAATATGCAAATTAGTTATTTCCATCAAACAAGAATCGCTAAGTTGGGCAACATATAAGATGCATGATAGGAAAACCAGACGGTAAAACTGCATTTATTTAATATCAGTTTTTTTTTTCCCTGATATGTGCGCGCACGCACACACACACACACGGACATCGCCAGACAACTAACTTTATATACATATTTCATTAAATTTCAAAGCTTCCAGTAGCACATTAACTCTTAGATTCGAATGTATATAGTATAACAGTTAATCAAGTCGAAAATAATAATGTATGTGGAAATAAATAAAATGCATAAGGAAGAGAAACATTTGTTTAGAAAATTTGTCTATCTCATGATCAATTGCTTAAAAATTGACCTTGTTTCAGTCGAAATAAATTTAAGTCTCTCCCGGAAATGGGAGGCTTATTTTAGTCTTTCAACTTAAATAAGAAGCACAACATATTTTAGATTTTCTTTTGATATATGACACTTGAATATAAATGAATAATCTCAATTATTTTCTTTCAATGAAGAAAAGAAAGTATATTTGTTTGAATTTTAACGGTTCTGTTTTACTCACTACAATAGTGGGCTGAAAAGTGCATAGGCTGACTATAAAAGAGTGATGCCAGACTGTGAAATTTTGCATGCATTAATTTCAACTCTTCTTATTAATAATTGAATTGTTTCTTTCCCAGTAAACTAACCTCTGTAGTGACGTGTGAAAAAAGCGAGGACGGTGAATTGAACCAGTGATATTGTGAATTGTACAAGTGACTGCTGGGAGAGCAATAGACTTATTTAATCTACATCCTTGTATATGAAAACTTCCATTTTTACTTTCAAAAGTTATATTTCCTAGATGAAACACTTTTAATCTATTCTTATTTAATCTTTTAATTGGATTTATGTGAAAAATTGCTATAGCTTTAAATGTCATCTTTTTATGCATTGAGGGTTTCTCTCTTCTGTTGACATGAAAAAGTTACCCTATGTATTGATTCCACTGTTGCATTATGGTCATCCTTTCTTTGGCTTTTATACATCTTGGAAAACAGGTTTTTGTGCCTGATATTTTTTTCCTTATCTGCATACTTGCTGCATCTGTAGCTTCGGATTTTTCAGTTTTTCAATCCCTACTTACTTACTATTTAACTACTCCCCTTTATCCTGATTGCAATTATATGTGTGTCATTTGTTGGCTTCATCTGCTGTTTTTTCTTCATTAGATCGAGAATGTCACTCGTCATCAGCTCCTTTTTTCTTTTGTCTTTCTTTCCCCATTTTTATTTGCTGTTGTTATTAGTGCTTCCCATAAGCTGATTCATTCGAATATCTGTCATGTTTTAACCGTTTTATCTGCATATAATTGTTTCTAAATGGTGTCACTGTGGTATTTTCATATATATTGATTTGAGTTTCAATTTTATAATCTGATCCTTAGTTTACATATCACTGGGAGGTGACTAACTCCCGCCATCGGCGCTTGTGTATGTTTTAGAGTGTAGTATTGAATTTCTAAATTGTTTGTTAATCGTCAAGTTGTTTATTTGGTTTTTAATGTCTCCTCCTAAACTTTTCCAATCATCTGCGGTGTTTATTAAACCTAGTGTTGGTGTTACTTGATCATTCGCTGTGCACCATTGAACCTAATTTCCTCCAAACTCATTTAATTGTGAATCGGAAGTAAATACAGATCAAATATAGATCGGTCTATGTTATAATAAGATAAAAAAAAACAAATGGGAAACGTTTATCTAACACAGAGGTTCCCAAAGTGGGTTCCGGGGAACCCAGGAATTCCGAAGAGTAGTCTCTGGGTTTCCGTGACAAAAGTTCAGAGTAATAAATGCTTAACATAACACATAATTTCTAAAAAAAATAGTTGCCAACAGATTTAGATTGTTCTATAATGTTATGATATATCATTCAATACTTTTATCATATATCAGTGAGTGATAATTGTATCATGCTACAGCTGAATTGAAAAGCAGTTATTGATTGTAATAACATCTGTGTACTATGACACCACATAAGTCTAAAAGTTAATTTTCTCGCCATATTAGAAAAAGCTCTGGCTGTTAACTGACTCTCATTGGCATAACTTAAAAACACAACACCAAAAGTTGATTTTCCTATTACACTGCCATAAAGTCTAAATACCGAAGTCGATTTAATCCTGCTGCTGACTTGAGAATTAAACTCTCAAGTCTAAAGCCAAAACATTAAAAAATGATTTGACAATATGAAACAGAAGCATTGTTCTCAATGAATGGTCCCAAAAGAATTCTGATTACGTATAAAATAAATTTCATGTTAACATTGTTCGTAATCCTCTTCCACGTGTTACTTGTGGAAGTATGAAAAGTTTTTAAAAAAATCACTTTTTATTAAAAAAATATATCAATAGGTATTATTTTTAATTGCTTTTTGAACGTACTTATTATTTATAAAAGTATATAAAAATATTTATATTACGATCATATAAAAGTATCACTATCTGAGCTCCCCACCCCCAAATTTCTGAACGCAGAAGGGTTCCGCGTCTGAAAAAGTTTGGGGAAACTCTGATTGTTTCAGTTTTAATAAAGTTTCATCAGATATGGGGAAAATAGAAGTTACCCAAAACTGTTTTTTACTCACCATTTCGCAGTCGTATATCCATTCATACTTTTGTCTTTAAATCCCACATAATAATTTATTATAACTTTGATCTGAAATTTGGTATTTTTTGTGTCTTGTAAAACGTCTCTATTTCTTCTTCGGTACTTTCTAACGTGGGTGCATATGATCGCCATATTGAATGAATTACGGTTCATATTCCTCAGAAGACCCTATTCGATGGCTGCTCGTATCCCAAAACGCACTTCCTCCTGTCTTTGTCTCATAGTAACCCAATTCTTCATTCATTTTTCTTTCTCCTGGATGTATGATGCTGTGACAAAATCTCTTTAACCACTTCGTTTCGCATATTCCGCGAATGTTGATCTTCAGCTTTTTCATTTGTTGTTTTACGTTTTCTTGCTTTCTGCGTTGATGCAGTATTCTAACATTTCAAATTTCGATTGAGTTTTTGTTGTGTTCAATCGCTAGATGACGGGCGATGAATCAGTGTCTTTATCCAGATACTATATTCTCTAATTAGCTGGAAATTCATCTAATCCTTTTGGGTCTTATTTCTCTTCGACTTTGGTTGTTCACTATTCTCCTCATCCACACGGAAATGGGGCAGAAGAGTTGCCGACCATCCGCGACTAAACCTGATGATAATGTATACGATTGTTAAGACGAATTTTCCGTAACTGTTGTAGCCCTCCCACATCGGTTGTAGGTAGATTTCAGCTCGGCACTAGAAATAATTTAAATTGGATTGTGACCTGCGCATTATCAACTTCAACCATTTAAACTGGGAGTTTATGCACTATCACCCAGCGAGGTGAAACATTAGCAGTAAGGTTTCGAGTTTGTAGGGTTTTGTTAAATTTACTTAGATGTAAATTACCGCACTTTGGAAGGAAGTCTTTAGTGTCAGCACCGAGGTCGGACGTGACACTATATCTTTCCCTTGAATTGTATGTTTCCTAACTAATCCTACTCTTCTCGCCACTACACGCTCGTAAGTTATATGATGACTTAAAGAACCCTGAACAGTACAATCAACTGAAATGATTCCTAATCCTTATTGTTGCTTGAGCGCAGTTTCTTTCTTCATCTCTGTTTTTTTCTTTCTTATTTTTTAAGGGGCATTGTTCTTGTTGGTTTGCCCGTCTTCACCGCACAGACGTTCCAACCAAGATCCCGTGTGGAGTTTCAACTCACAATGTGTGAAAAGGTATCAGGGACGCCGTGGAAACGACTGTGCGATACAGAAGACAGTTACAAAATTTCTGCACACCTCGCTCTTTCATTCCTTCTCCCATCTCGTTGCCACATCAAATTTTAGTAGATTTATAACTTGTGTAGAGAATCTATTTATGATTCTTTTAGGTGTAATAAACATAGTAAATAATTGTTAAGTATATAATAATCAGTTCTTTTTGGGTCGCTTGTCTATCATGTTCGATCTTTGTGATGCGAATTGGAGAATTGCCAATTTTTAAAAAATATTTGAAGTTGCTTGAGAATAAGTATTCTATTCGAGGCGCCATTGTCCATTTTTTTGTGATTTACTGAAAATCTGGCTTTTCTGTTTACAATTTTCAGCTGGAAAACAGGTAACCTTTTAGGTGTCGGAGGTTCCGGTGGGATATGTCAATCTACGCGCTGCGCTCTTTCAAAGACAACAGCTTGGGGATTCCAAACTTCAATATGTCATGAAATCGCCCATGGGTAAGTCTCCAAAATAGTAGAGATTTTCAAAATAGTCAACTGTCACTTTTACTAATGCGCTTTCATAAACACAAATGTCATCCTCTGTTGTAACTGATATTATCAATAGAATTATTCAGACTTTACAAGCACTAAGTTCGAGTGCATTAAACTATAAAGTGAGAAATGCCAGAGCACTCAAGAGAAACTGTTTGACCAAACCCAGCGCTACAGAATTGGGACATACACCATCAAGTAAGAGGAATTTTAAAAATTATATTGCCAATCATTTCATCAAAAATGTAAATTAACCGAACGTGGGCTACATTATAAAAGTGCCATTACTAAAATAAGTTGATATGTATTATGTTACCTCTGATGTCTTTTCGAATTAGTAGTCATCGATTAACCAAATTATGGAAATCATAAAACAAGAAAAAACAGATCTTATACGCTAATTTCACTGATCTCACTCTTTATCAGTATTATTCCCTGGAGTGAATGACAGAATTTCAAGGCGATTAGCTTTGCAGAAATTATATTTCCAATGTTATATTTTATGTTACAGAATTGACATTCCACATGATTATCACCCAAATTGTGACAGTACACCAGGTCCATCTGGTTTAATGGGAAAAAGAAAAACGGGCTGGAGTAAATGTTCAGCTAAATATTTTAAACTCTGGTTAAGAAGGTCAGTGAAGTAATATTGTTTATTCTTTGCGTGCAATAACACCCTGAATATTGTAACTTTTGTTTATTGTTCCTGGAGAATGCCAAATTCTTTCTTTTTCGCATTTACTTCTTGGCTGGTAAGCTGACTGACAAAATGATGGAAAACAAGCCGTATAACTTTATAAAAGAAAAGTCTGGGCTTAACCGATATTTCAATAACAACACTATACTTCCATTTAAATTACCATTGAAATTCATCAAAAACATAGTAAAATAATTTCATTAGGATATAAAAACAGTATATTGATTCCAGACTAAATGAATATTTTCTTTTCTTATTTTATCAGTTCAATCCATGTACACGTATTCAAAATAAAACGGCAAATAGACTAAAACAATAAAAAAAAGGCATTGGATATGACTGTATGGATGTCATAGTAAAATCATTTTATTTTTCCGAAAAGTTTACGAGAAGACCACTGAAAGAAAAAAATCCCTATGCATTTGTTCCAGAGTAATTCCAATTTATATCAATCCTGATTTTAAAAAATGGCAGTTGGTGTATTTTCTAGTAACTATAAACAATATACAGTGTGGTGGGAAATAAATATTCGTACACATACTAATTTTTAATTTATTGTATTTCCAACTAATGAATAAACATACTTTTCATATGATGAACTGCATATAGTTGCATAATAACTAAATATGCATAGAAAACATTAAAGAAATTGATTTAATAGAAATAAGTTTCAGTTATTCATTTTAGTGGGTGAAAAATGTATTCGTTCAATGCAAATTTCAGATTTTGAAACTTTTAAATTGCTATAATATTCAAGTGGAATATTCTAGAATGTTCCAATAATGTTACCAATAGTTAATTTTAGCCTTAAAATACAAACAGAACATTCTGTAATTGATATTCGGGCAAGAATCATCATGGCAAGAGGTAAATAATTGACAAATTCGTTAAAAGAACTGATTGTTAAGCTCTGGAAAGAAGGTAAAAGTTACAGGAAAATCCCAGACAAGCTGAATACTGCATTTGCTACCATTAGTTCATTCATTGCAACGTATAAACATTCAAAACTGTTGAAAACTAAAGAAGAGCAGGTGGTCTACAAAAGATTTTTTCAAGATCTTCGAGGAAATTTATGCGTCAAATTAAATAAAGTCCAATGGTTACTCGTCAAAAGATGCAGGATGATTTGCATTCATCAGGAATTTGTGTCACTAAATGGACAATATGCAATGAAATTCATAAGAACAATCTAAATTCAATCTCCTCTCGGAAAACTCCACTGGTATTGAAAAGACACAGAGATGCCAGGCTGGGAAAGAGTATTATGGACAGACGAAACCAAAATTGAGTTGTTTGGATGTAATTCTAAAAATTATGTATGGAGGAAAGATGGCGATACCTTCAAACAAAAGAACAGTTCCAACAGTGAAATTTGGTGGTTGCAGCATCAAAGGATGTTTTTTTCTGCAAAAGGTACTGGCAAAAGGTATCAGTAATAAATGGTAGAATGAATGCCGCAGCATATCAAAATACTTTTGAAGCAAATTTAATGATTTCGGTTGAAAATCTTGAAATTCCTCCTTATTGGATCTTCCAACAGGAAGTACACTGCAAAATCTACGAAGAAATGGCTCGCTGAAAATGATGTAAAAATATCCTGAAATGACCCAATCAATCCCCAGATTTAAACCCAATCGAGAATCTGTGGCGTTATTTGAAAATTCAAATCCAATCGAGAACTCTAATAAACATCCTGAATTTGAAGACCATATGTGAAGAAGAATGGAACAAAATACCAACTAAAATTTGCAAATTAATTGAGAACTACAAGAAGAGGTTAAATGCGGTAGAAGTGAATAATAGCTATTCTACAAAGTATTAAATGAAGATTATGTATTCTTTTTAGTATTGTACGAATACTTTTTTCGCCCATTAAAATAGACAAATGGCATTTATTTCTATTAAATCAAGTTCTTTAATGTTTTCTATGCATATTGTTATGGTCCAGGTTAGGACCAAGGAAGAACAAGCTTTTACCTCACAGGGGTCTTTAATATTTTTTCCTCTTCGGATTAATCATCAAAGGGTCTGTAAATTTTCTTTTTCTGCTTGATTTCCGCGGTTCTGAAATTGCTTGAGGCCTTTGCATATTGAATGTGTCAAATATTGTGTCCATTACTTCCTCCTCTTCCTGAAGTAGGCCGTTAGAATCCTCTAAAAGCCTCTTTCTGACCTGATTTAAGTGCCTTTTATGCGAGAACTTCGGACCCTGAATTATGTAAATCACGTCCCCGATTCGTTTCTCTATTGTACCTGGCTCCCAATAGGATGTGTTGTTTTTGAAGATTTAAAAAAAATTTTCTCCCCTGGGTTAAATTTTCTTTTTGGTACAAACGACCTTGGTGATTGCTTTGTCTGTTTTGGCAATAATTTGTCGAATACCGATCTAATTTTTCGGTCGAACATTACTTCCGCCAGTGATAATGCCGATGGCATAGTACTGTTCGGTGTAATTCTATACACTTGCAAGAATTGTTGTAAAGCCTTTTCTGTTGGTACGTCATAAACTTTCCTTAGTGCTTATTTAATGTGTCTACAAACCTCTCTGCTTTCCCGTTTGACCTTGGGTGATATGGCGGAGATTTGATATGTTTCACCTGAAAAGTTTCACAAAATTCTTGAAAATCCGCAGATGTAAATTGTGCCCCATTATCGGTGACTAAACAATCAACCACTCTGACAGATCGTGCAGGCAATTTATTGTCGTCTCAGAAGTAGGTTTTCTACAACGAAATACTTCTGGCTATTTGCTGTAACTGTCTACTACAATCAAGTAGTAGAAACCCTCTAATGGACCTGCGAAATCTACATGGATTCTCGACCACGGTCGATCTGTTTTAGGCCATGGCTTATGAGTGATCGGAGATGCCTTGGCTACTAAGGAACAGCCCTTGCATTTGTCCACCATATGTATAATAACTTGATCCATGTTTGGCCAGTACACGTAATTTCGCATTAAGGATTTCATCCTGTTCTTTCCTGGATGGCCCATGTGGAAATCCTTGAGGATTCGCCTTTGTAGTGTTTTCGGGATTACTACTCTTTCATTATATAGCAGAACATTATCACATAACGAAAAACTGTTTGCAATATGCTTATCTTTTCCTGCAATTTTTGTTTTCGTTTCCTTTATAAATTTGTCATTCACTGCTTCGTTTCTTATTTCCTGTAATGTGACGGGGAGGTTTCGAATTGTACTACATAATGATGTTCTAATATCTTCCTCATCTCGTAGTGCTGCAATTACGGAATCTTCTAATGGCTCCGTTTTCTTTGGTATTAGTCTAGAAAGACCGTCTGCATGCCCGATTTTGTTTGATGGAAGATACTCCAATTTGAAGTTATAGTTTAATAAAATCGTACCCCATCTTAGTAATCTATTAGCAGTGTAGACAGGTAGACCTTTTCTTTGATCCAAATATTGTTAGTAACGGCTTGTGGTCTGTCTGCAAGGTGAAAAATCTACCGTAAATATATCTGTGGAATCTTGTAATCGCAAAAATAATCCCCAGCGCTTCTTTTTCGATTTGCGAGTAATTTTGTTCGGCTGGTATTAACGTTCTTGAAGTATGCGCGATAGGTTTTAGTGTCCCATCCGGCATTTTATGAAGTATACATGCCCCAACACCATAGGCACTCGCGTCACTCGCGACTATTATTTCCAATTTTGGATCATAATGCGCTAAAAATAAGTCTGCTGTTAGAGTCTTAATGATTTTGTCGAAAGTTTTCTGACATTCATATGACCATTCCCAAACTTTTTCCTTTTTCAACAGTTCGTTTAGGGGTGTGCGTAATTTGTGCATGTTAGGAATAAATTCTTGATAATAATTTACTAAGCCCAAGAAGCTTTGTAGCTCGGCTAAATTTTTTGAAGCCGGCATTTTTTTTTTTTTTATTGCCGTTGTTCTTTCTGGGTCTGGTCTTCTTCCTTCTTCGTTAATAATATGTCCCAGATATTTTATCTCCTTCATAAAGAAGTCACATTTATTTTTGTTTACCTTAAAACCGTAATTTTGTATCTGCCTGAAAACCTCTTGAACGTGTTCCCAGTGTTGTTCAATATTTTTGCTATTTATCAGGATGTCATCAAGGTATGTAATCGTGAAATCCACTCCTCCTAGCATACTATCCATTATTTGCTGAAATATCGCCGGCGCGACCTCGATCCCGAATGGTAATCTCTGGAACTTGTATAATCCTTTATGTGTGTTTATGAGCTTTCCTCATCTACTGGTACTTGTAGGTATGCTTCGCTCAAGTCTATTTCTGAGAAAAATTTGCCTCCGTTCAACTTTGTGAAAACTTCCACTGGACTAGGGAGAGGATAGTGATAATCCTTAATCGCTGCATTCAATCCCGTCGAGAAATCAGCGCATACTCGTATCTCACCCGATTTCTTTTTCACGATAACCATTGACTATATTCCACCTTTGTCAATATACCGGTTTTCACGAGTCTATCCAACTCTTCGTCTATCTTTTCCAATGATGCAAAAGGTACATTTCTTTTCTTCTTGAAAATGGGTTGTACATTTTCTTTTAGTTCGATTTTGGCCGTCAATTTTTACACCTCCAGAGTCCGGCTGAAAATACGTCGGGGAAACTCTCCTTTAATTTCTCCTTCAATTTCTCTGCCTCGGTCGATAACCTTTCCACTTTTTGGCAGAACGTATTTATCGGTAAATCCCAGAGGTCAAATTTTTGCATCCAGTCAGTTCCAAATAAATTTTCCGTATTTTTTAGAACATACATTTTTAATTTTTTGCTCATTCCGTTGAACGTCACATTTGTGATAATCTCGCCCTCAAATTTGATTTTTCTTCCTGTTACCGACCTGGCTATTTTATCTGTTCTCAACATGGTCGGTTTGTTTAATTTCTTCCACGTCTGTAAGCTAATAATGGTTAAATCTGATCCAGAATCCAATTGTAATCT